ATCTTAGAAGCCAACCCAGATTATTTTTTTAAACATTTGTTCAAGAAAATCCTGGAAAAAATAATTTTGCAGCCTGTTTTACCCCAAATAAATAATTGTTTGCTGAAATATAAATTGTTCAGGTGCCCATTTCAGAGACACTATCTCAACAGACACCGATAGGTCAGATTTGTTTAAAGGGCATCATGAAAACCCACGACATTTGGTATTAAGTTATCTTGTATGTTCTGTGAATTTTGAGCGACAAACGCCAGATTCTTCCAGACTATATTTACTAGTACTGATGGGAGTTTCCACACATTCGGGGTAAACTCGTGGTTAAAGCGTTCAATCGTCAACCGAAAGCCCGGGAGTTCCCGTCGTGATGTTGTTGGAATTTGCAAAAAGCGGTGTAAAACCATATTCCCTCACTTACTCACATGTATATACCTGTGTATGAATACAGTAATGGTCAATGAATACCCCAAATTAACAGGAGCAATGTCCCAGTTTATGAAATGGCACTAATTACAATGTTTAAACCAGTGTTGAAAATATAAGTGCCTGTAAAATTCGTCATTAAATAATGAACTACATTTAACATTGGAGAAAGCAAGGATGAAACCAGACACCATTGATGATACCAGGCCCTCTAGAATCCGGGAATCCGTTAACGGACATCTTTCAAGATACAAGGCCCTCTAGAATCCGGGTATGCGTTACCGGACATCTTTGAAGATACCAGGCCCTCTAGAATCCGGGTATCCGTTAACGGACATCTTTGAAGGTACCAGGCCCTCTAGAATCCGGGTATCCGTTACCGGATATCTTTGAGGATACAAGACGCTCTAGAATACGGGTATCGGTTACCGGATATCTTTGAAGATACCAGGCCCTCTAGAATCCGGGAATCCGTCATCGGATATCTTTGATGATACCAGACACTCTAGAATCCGGAAATCCGTTACCGGACATCTTTGAAGATACAAGGCCCTCTAGAATCCGAGTATCCGTTACCGGACATCTTTGGTGATACCAGACACTCTAGAATCCGGAAATCCGTTACCGGACATCTTTGATGATACCAGACCCTCTATAATAGGGTATCCGTTACCGGACATCTTTGAAGATACCAGACCCTCTATAATCCGGGTATCCCTTACCCGATTTCTTGATGATACCCATGCGTATATCCGTAGATGTAAACATCAGTGGATCCCTATTGTAAATCCCTACTAAGGCCTTTGGCTGAAAAGTAACCTTCCAGATTGCAGGATAACCATGATGACCTTTGACCTAAACAGTTACCATTAGCAGGGGATGGGTTCTGTCGGAGCAACACAATTTGACAACTCACAAATTCTAAAACATTTATATGCCTGCCGAACGTGAGCTATATATTTTTTCATAGGTGTTCGGGAACAAAGCCCATATTCAGATATATCTGATAATGGCTCTGTCGGGATGTACGACATTGCTTCACTCAGTATAATAATTGCTTCATTTAATGACACCATTACCGGAATCGCTTTGTATTTATGTTCTGTGTAGTCCGTATACAAATGACGCAGCGAATGGTTATAATTAGTCGGTTTATACGGCGAACGAAACCATGCCAGGTGTGTGCTGATAAAACCCCTAACCTCAGCAGAAACACTATAAAGATGAACAGCTCCATTTTTAACCGAGTAAGCACACACATCTGTTGCGCGAACAGAAAACTATAGCCCCTTTGCCAAGAAATTAACAAATGTTTACTGTCTAAATGAATGTTAATTTCTGGCATAAATACTCCCCCTGTAAACAAAGAACTGGGATGAGTCGAGAAGACATCCTTGGCTTACGTCAACAGCCACGCATGTGGTGCTTAGGCAAGGGGCTATGCTCAGATGCCGACAGTTTGCAAGTGGCTCTTTAGTTTTACTGGTATCTGGAGAGGAATTTAGAGCTTCAGTAATAAATATTTGTCCTGTCTGCAAATGAGGATACATTTGAAGATTGAGAAATCAGTGGTGCTGTCTGACATCGTCACCGTTAACTGCGAACCACCAACAACGCTGTGAAGTCTGCACACGTTCCAAGTAGACGTTGAACTGTGTCTAATGTTACTGCTATTATTTGCGTCACTGGTTTAGGTTTGTCTTAAGTAAATTAAAAAAGCAATACTTAATATAATGCTAGCGTTTGCAAGTCAGGGTCATCGTCGCTATATGGCTGAAATAATGTCAATGAAACGTTAAATTTAACTCACTCCCTCACTCACTCACTTGAGACTTTGACACAGTATTAGGTCAGGATTAATGTGCAAGAAAAAGCGACAGAAGCTATTTTACTTTGTTACACAGTGGTTCTGCTTGGTAATATGATCTCCGTTATCTGTCTTAAAGATGCACCATCCAAAGGCCCCTCTGCACAAGGACCAGCACTGAGCCTGTTAATGGAATGTCATTTTGTGACTTGAAACACCACAATCTCTGCCCAGATCCGAGCGAATTCTGACCAGTGGAGGACATGGTAATTTCAATCTCGATTGTTCGATTCCGAGTTTATCATAATAAGCTTCCGTACATTTGGGGTAGACTCGTGGTTAAAGCGTTCAATCGTCAAAGCCCGGGAGTTTCCGTCGTGATATGGCTGGAATTTACGACAAGCAGCGTGAAACCATATCCGCTCAATTACTCACATGTTGGGATGTGTATGAATACAGTAATTGTCAATGAATACCCTAAATTAACAGGAGCAATGTCCCATTCTCTGAAATGGCACTATTTACAATTACCAGTGTTGAAAATATTTATAAGCACCTGCCCGTCGGCCCGTGTCTGGTAGATCTCATGTCGGGCCAGTCGTTTCAATTTACTTAAGACATACCTAAACAAGTGACTCAAATAGTAGCAGTAACATCAGAAACAGTTCAACGTCTACTTAGAACGTTTGCAGACAACACAGCGTTGTGAGTGGTTCGCTGTTAACGGTAACGATGTCAGACAGAACCACTGTAGTTAAGATTTATCAATCTTCAAATGTTTCTCATTTGCAGTCAGGACAAATATTTATTACTTAAGCTCTAAATTCCTTTCCAGACACCAATAAAACTAAAGAGCCACTTGCTAAAAAGCGACAAAAGCGGTTACAATAATCATAAATAAAGCGATAAAACCTTTTACATAATCAAAACAAATCTCGATCATAATAAGCATGTGTTTATGAATCATTTTCAAAGGGAGATGATACCAGGTGTTCGTGAAAAGGTGAAAGTATCCTGCCCACATGTGCACCCGTCATTAACACATGCAAAGGCAAATCAATTGTCTACCCGAAACACACGTTAACGTATGGTACAAGTCAAAATATGGAATTGAATTGGACATAATTGCTGTCACTGGTTGATGTAAGGGACACAACCACGTCGATATCTATACGTTTATGGCGACCCAAGAAGATCCGGGGTAGACTAGGTCTTCAGCAACCCATGCTTGCCGTAAAGGGGACTATACTTGTCGTAAGAGGCGACTAACAGGATCGGGTGGTCAGGCTCGCTTACTTGGTTCATGCATGTCTTCGTATCCAAATTGCGTGGATCGGTGTTCATGATGTCAGTCACTGGATTGTCTGGTCCAGACTTGATTATTTACAGACCGCCGTCATAAAGTTGTAATATTGCTGAGTGCGGCGTTAAACAACAAACAAACAAAACGTTAGTGGCTGGTCTTTTGGTGTTCTGCAATGTGCACGGATATTCCTTTACGTCAGTCAGCAATATTCCAAATCAATGACTTTACATCAAGGAAACGTGACAAAGCAAAACATTTGTTGGCAGCGTTTGCAACGACCAACATCGCCAGAGTACGACGATACTCCGCCGGCCAGGTATCACATTGCATTAATTCTGTCTTAAGAATGGAAACTGCATGACTATGTACAGAGACACTGTTGTGAGTCCCACAACGCTCTAATATTTCATTGTGCTATGTCAGCATCATATGACTAAAGTATCAAGTGAGTCAAATTGGTCACGTTTAAGTGTCAACAAAGGCTTCATCGTTCTTGGTTAGTACATGTATCAATTTAAAAAAATAATAATTAAAAACCCTGAATTTTTTTTTTCATATTTCAAGTGGTTAACTTTTAAATTCAAAATCATACAATATAGGTTTTTACCTGACTGTCATCTTCCAAACCATCTGCCTCGGATGATTACAAACATTGTAGATAATGTGTTTGAGATTATATAAAAATCCTTACCCGTTAATTGCCTGACAAGGCAGAAGATAAACGTACCCTTTTCGCAATCATGAAGTATTTAATCTCTGATCAGCCTTGGGTTTTAGACCGCCTCCGTGGTCTTGTGGTAGAGCGTCCGCCCGGAGAGCGGAAGGTCCAGGGTTCGATCCCGGGCCGCGTCATACAAAAAGACGTTAAAAGATTGTACTTGTTGTTACCCTGTCTGGCGCTCGGCATTAAGGGGCTAAAACAAGGACTGGTCGGCTCGGAGTCAGTATACTGTGTCTGAGTGGGGTATTCATGTTAAACTGCGGCATGGTATCTCAGTGAGCTAGCACTATAAATCGGCATCAGTCCGGACTAGTACAAGCAGCCACACACACACATACACGTGCATGCACGTCGCTATATAAGTGCAATAATCTTGGACGCGACGTTAAACCCAATTTCACCTCACCTCACCTTGGGTTTTATTTCATCCTCTTTCATATCGGATACTTACTGGTCACTATATAAAGTTTAGATTAAAAAAACTCGTTTTTTATCTTCTTTTATCTTTACAACCGTTCCGAAATCTAATTAACCTGAAAACATGTTCCCATGACCTTACTGGCGTGTTGAGATACGTAGTCGAGGTTTTCGTAAACAGTGTTGACCCTTGCAAACAGCTTACGGTGATATGAATCACAATGGCCATAAATCGTGACTTTGGGAATGAAAGAACCAATTCATACCCTGCCATGTGGATCTCATCAGCGTTATCAGCCTCGTCAAGTCGAATATAAGGAACGCGTAATTCAGTGGCATTAGGGAAAAGTCTATAGTCATAGACGGATACTGCGCGAGGCAGTTGCACGTGCAATGCTGTTGCACGTGTTTTGCGCTGCCGTTGTCGTCTGCTGCGGCGGTGCGAGCGCGTTCTATATACCGCCACCTGGTGAGAGGAAAGTGTCATGCTATCAGTCAGACGATTCGTCCCAGTCAGTGTACAATTTTACGATTAATGACCTTCAATCGGGGACGCCAACGAGTCTGTCACAGTTTCGGTAAGTTAAACTCTCGATTTCAAAAATTACTTACGAACGAATTTCGAATCCTCGCAAATCCGGATGCCGTTAGGCAGCACTCTGGATGTCTTGAAATGTTTATCTGGTATGCGGATGCCAATATTTCATTGTCGAATTTATTGTTTCGTCTCTTTTGCGGGCAAAGAGTGACAAATCACTAAAATATTTGTATTAGACGCATGAGCACGCATGACCATGCAATCTGTGAGACAATACCAGTCTAATGTACTCGTACTAGCCATGTACATTGATGCGAGTCAAAGTTTTTAAGATGGATGCCAAGACAAATTAAGTGGCATGCCGGATGCCCAGACGGTGGGGGTTGGCACCCTCTTAAGTATGATTTAGACTTACATGAGGTTTCACTAGGACGTGAAGACTTGCTGAAGTGCATTTTGTAATGCCATAGAAATATTCAAATTTCTCACCTACGCCATCTCTATTTTCCTTCAAAATATTATCTACAACCAAATGTCCATAAGTTTAATATTCTTTTATCTACAACCAACACAAAGTTGATTATTAATATCGCTAAATATCTGTATCACAGTAAAGAAGAGAGAACACGTATTTTATCATTGTGACTGTTGCCCTAAATATGCCATACATTTTGTACAAAGGGCCTGTGGCCTGTACTGTACTGAATAAAGAATTCAAAGAAATTAGCTTACAACTAATGTGTGTCGTGGATATTGCGTCTGCACGGAGAGCGGAAGATCGTTGGTTCGATCCCGGGCCGCGTCATACCAAAAGGCGTTTATTAAAAGATGGAACTTTTTACATTATCTGGCGCTCGGATATTAATGGGATAAAACAAGAACTGGTTGGCTCGGAGTCAGTATACTTTATCTTTGTGGGATACTAGTATATATGTTTAACGTCCGTGGCATGAATGGATATGGCCATGCCCCTGGACTGCGGACTATCTGCATGGAACGTGATAAAAACCAGTCTAGATTTCATTGATCAAAATTGCCAAATCCATATTATATAAAAATATTAAAAGAGCGAAATCCATGTACGTATGGTATGGACACAGACTTATACCCATGAATGTATGCAAGGCTCCTTGTAGAGATGTGTAAAGGAAACTAAGGGAAAGTTAAATTGTCACCAATGGCAATAATTTGCATGAATCTTAGAAGTTTTAGCGATGCTTGCAGAATATCGTTTTTGTGATACTTGAATGAATACGCATGTACATGTATGTATCTATTGTCAAGTCCATCAGATATTAAGCCAAACTGTTTCCCTCTCATTGTGTTTACAGATCATTTGCCTAAATCGCACATGCATTCAAACTTGCATTGCCGCTATGACAGAGAGCCTATCCGAGTTGGGTAAACTTATCATAAACATATTTTTGTGTAAAATATACTTAGCTCCATTACCCGTACAACCCAGAGTTGGCAGTAAATAATTTTGTTTGTTGTTCAACACCACACTCAGCATTTGTCCAGCTTGATGACGGAGGTCTGAAAATAATCGAGCCAGATAATCCTGTGATTTGCATCATACGCACCGTTCCACGCTATGTTGGAGTACGATGCCTTCAACCAAGTCAACAAGCCTGACCACCCGATCCATTTTGGTCTTACAATAGCATTGCAAGACATGCGTTTAACTGATTTTCCATCAATTAATGAGACATTAACACTAACATCGGCTCACAGAAAATATCAGAACAAAACTGCAATTGAAAAAACCTAACATTTTCATATCTTACGTATGTACGCATTTCAATGTGGGAACAACTTGATCCTAACGACAATCGGTACACAGTGCCTGGGGGCCTGATACTGTACGTTGTGTCTACCTAGCGGTACTGATGTTCCTGAAGTGTGTCTATCATGTCACGCACAAGTAATGTCATTTATGCTGGGTAATAGTTTATTAGAGTTTGCACGAATCGATTTGTCCCGATTAATTGGCTCCCGGACCAATGGTTATTGAATAGACCTTTGGGACTGGACGTACTATTAAGGTTATAACCGAACTGAGGGGTCCGCGGCAGGATGATGGGTCGTTAGTGCCTCTGTCTGAGCCAATAACATTGGAATTTAGTAGCAACAATGTTATGATTGGGGTGAGTGTGGTTTTACGCCGCTTCCAGGAACATCACAGCAGGGGACACCAGAAATGGCTTCACACATTGTACCCATGTCGGGAATCGAACCCGGATCTTCGGCGTGACGAGTGAACGCTTTAACACTGGGCTACCCGACCGCCCCTGTTTATGATTTTGTTTTAGTTTGGTTAGTCACAATGTTGTGACTGGGGTGGTTAGTCACAATGTTATGATTGGGGTTGTTGGTTAGTCTCAATGTTATGATTTGGGTCGGTTAGTCACAATGTTAGGATTGGGGTTGGTTAATCGTAATGTAAGGATTGGGGTTGGTTAATCACATTGTTATGATTGGGGTTGGTTTGTCACAGTGTTATGATTGGGGTTGTTGGTTAGTCTCAATGTTATGATTTGGGTTGGTTAGTCACAACGTTATGATTGGTTTGGTTAGTCACAATGTTACGATTGGGGTTAGTTAATCCTAATGTTAGGGTTGGGGTTGGTTAGTCACAATGTTATGATTGTGGTGGTTAGTCACAATCTTATGATTGGGGTTGGTCTCAATGTTACGATTTTGATTGGTTAGTCACAATGTTAGGATTGGGGTTGGTTAGTCACAATGTTAGGATTAGGGTTGGTTAGTCACAGTGTTTGGATTGGTTAGTCACAGTGTTATGACTGGGGTTGGTTAGTCACAGTGTTATGACTGGGGTTGGTTAGTCACAATGTTATGATTGGTGTTGGTTAGTTTCAATGTTAGGATTGGGGTTGGTTAGTCACAATGTTATTATTGGGGTTGGGTAGTTTCAATGCTATAGTTGGGTTTTGTTAGTCACAATGATATCATTGGGGTTGGTTAGTCTCAATGTTATGATTGGGGTTGGTTACTCTTAATGTTAGGATCGGGGTTGGTTAGTCACAATGTTATGATTGGGGTTGGTTAGTTTCAATGCTATAGTTGGGTTTTGTTAGTCACAATGATATCATTGGGGTTGGTTAGTCTCAATGTTATGATTGGGGTTGGTTACTCTTAATGTTAGGATCGGGGTTGGTTAGTCACAATGTTATGATTGGGGTTGGTTAGTTTCAATGCTATAGTTGGGTTTTGTTAGTCACAATGATATCATTGGGGTTAGTTAGTCACAATGTTATTAATGGGGTTAGTTAGTCTCATTGTTATTGGTCACAATGATATCATTGGGGTTGGTTAGTCACAATGTTATTATTGGGGTTAGTTAGTCTCATTGTTATTGGGGCTGGTAATTCTTAATGTAAAATTGGGGCTGGTTAGTCACAATGTTGTAATTGGGACTGGGTTGTCTCTGTGTTACGACTGATCTTGAAACATCTCCTTTTATTTCCGACAAACACTTGACAAGCTAACGAATGCTACACACGGGCTATGTCATGTGTTCAACCATATGTTCCTGTTGTGCCAGAGGCGAGGTGCTGCTGATCGTCAACGTGGCGGGATTCTGAGGGTCAACTCCACAATATTTGGGACTGAATGCATTACAGAGAGAGTTTCGGGGATTCAGGGTTCTTGGTTTCCCGTGTAATCAGTTTGGGAAGGTAAGTTGACCTCAACAAAAAACAAAATCGCAGAACCATAAAAGAATATTTCATCAATGCCTTGTTCCTTGATATTGCACACAAACCTAAGCTTGACCAAAAGCCAACAACCGAAATCTGTTTCCTTATATATGCGCCGCAATACAGTTGACCACGATTATAACGAACACGGATTTAACGAACTATTTCAATAGTCCCGACTGCAGCTCTATACTTTATCATATGAACATCACTTATGGTGATAAACTCTGTAAAACGAACTTATTAATAATTCCCAAAAGACACAAATGTAATTAATTAATCACGTGTATGAAACTATGTGCATGATTCTTCTCTGTGTGATATGTTTACGTTATCATGACGCCGAATTAATTGCACGACGTGACATTAAATTTTGGCTAATCTTTTTTTTTAGCAAGAGCCAGGAGCTAACGCCACCGAGATTCTCAACACGTTGAAGTATGTTCGTCCTGGTGATGGATTTGAGCCGAACTTCAGCATGTTTGAGAAAATCGAAGTAAACGGGGAGAATGAGCATCCACTGTATACATATCTTAAGGTAGGCTGGGTCTTTGACTCACGTTGCACACGCATGTCAAGGTAGTCTGGATCTTTGACTTTGAATTCGCTGTTTAGAGGTACGTCCCTTGGGCACGCCAAAAACCTATGATGGTGGGGTCGAATCCCGGTTCGCCCCGATTATGTTTCTAGGGTGGTGAGCACCATAACCCTACTCGTAGGTTCCACCAAAATGGTAAACGTCTAAGGTCTGCGTCACTTTTGGCTTTCATCCCATATTAAGTTTAGACGCCGTGATATAACTGGAACACTGTTCAAAGCGGAGTTAAACCCATCTCACTCAATCGTCCCAACTAGTTTGACAGGAATACAGGAAACAATAATTTCGCCTAATATTTTGAAAAAATATTTTGTCTCTCATAATCAACAGGTGGCAGAGTGTGATGAGTGGTGATCAGTTTAATCAGTTTTGTTTCATATGATTTTACTACCGCTTCAATCATTCTTTCCAGTAATTCCTGGACAAGTCGAATGTATAGGCCTTCTTGTAGGTTACGAATTAGTTAACTCTATCTCTAGTAATGTCTTTCAATATCCTTCCTTGTTTCTGCTGTAGTCATACTGTGTCGCCACCGTCGACGTCTTCTACACGGAAAGTCCAGGCATCTACTATCAGCCCTACAGAAATTGGGACGTCCGCTGGAATTTTGAGAAGTTTCTCATCAACAAGAAGGGAAGGATCGTGTCCCGGCATCATTACAAGACTTTGCCGGGAGACCTGACCACCGACATCAGGACACTCCTGGAGGAGGGCGTGGACAATGACCACTAGCGACACAGCTGTTCAAGAGCACATCCCCTGTGATGAGAGATGGATATATTCTCCAACACGAACCCGTTTTTGTTCACTATCCCTAAAACAGTGTTCAAATTAATTGTTGAACACTCCCCACCCCTAAATAACCCCACCTATTAACGTGACTTCTTCGCTTTTCTAACTCTTTTGAATCAAATATACTGCAACCTTTAATACTCTGGCAACATCGTAGTTAAACAATGATTGTAAGTTACATCCACTTTGTGTGCATGTTTGCTTTTGGATTCCTTCTAATGACCAGGTTAACTTTCCTTAAAGACATTGAAACGTAAAGGCCGTACTTCAAACTATATGACCTTGACCTTACATACCAATATATTAACCTACCATCTATTTTGTAATATAAGTCACTGTCACTTAATCAATAGTTCACTGATAAAGCGTATTTCAAGGCAGGGATTGACGATATTACCTTCCTGTACAACTCCAGAGACTAAAAACGCCATGTCTATGGGACTTACATTTCAAAGCGTGTATATTCCCAACAATATTCACATACTAAAAGGCTTGATGACGGGAAGATTTGCAACCGGAAATGGGTAATCTCCCCTGACCTCCGTTGCTCTTGGGCGCTTTTCTGCATTCGAGCGTTCTTGAGCAGTGGTGTCTTTTATTGTGGGACTTAGTGTGGGAGTATGCATGCTAGCCAGAATAAATCATTATTTGTTGTCGCCTGTCTTATTCACTTTTATGTTTAGTATATTTCGTGATATTTCGTGACTCTTGCTCAGAAGTTGTTTGATCAAGGTTACATAATTCAAAGCCTCGGTAACACTTTCCGAATGTTTTATGGTAGACATTCCCTTATAGACCTGTACCTTATGTTCCCGTGTTGCTTTTCAGGTGAACAATTAACTTGCCTTTGCATGTATTTGAGACGTGCCACCGGTGGGGTAGGATACGCCCAACGTTTCGCGAACACCTGGTGTTATCATTATTTTATAGTGATTCATAAACACATGATATATACACAGGTGATAAAGTCGGAATTGTATAATCGACTGCTTTTAGCAGAAATGTCTTATGAATATGGAAAGGGCTTTGTGGCTTTTATTTTCATGGGCGGTGGGGTATCTCGGTGATTAATACGTTGGCTGGTTAAGCCCAGTTTCTATTCCCCACATGGGTACAATGTGTGAAGCCCATCTCTAGTGTCCCCGATATTATGTGGTGTAAAACCCGACCTAACTCAGTCAAATATAGTCGACTCCAGGCTTTACATCTGCTTTTATCCTGCATCACGGGCAAACGTAGCGAACTTAGCTAAGATGCAGGTGACCATACCTCAGAAATCTGAAAACGTTTGGACAGTTTGGATTGTATATGAATATATACCCTAGTAAAATAAAATGACCTTCTTTGTATGGGCTATACACAGTGGAGTCGATCTTGGGTCCTGTGTCTTCCATTGTATGTTCTGAGCACGGCTACGTTTTCTATTTACGGTTGAATCTTCTCATCACGGTAGTATGTTCTGTCCACGGTTGTATGTTCTATTTATGGTTGTATGTTCTATTCACGGTTGCATATTCTATTCGCGGTTGTATATACTATCCACGGTTGTGTATTCTATTCATGGTTGTATGTTCTATTCACGGTTGTGTATTCTATTCATGGTTGTATGTTCTATTCACGGTTGTGTATTCTATTCATGGTTGTATGTTCTATTCACGGTTGTGTATTCTATTCATGGTTGTATGTTCTATTCACGGTTCTATGTTCTATTCACGGTTGTGTATTCTATTCACGGTTGTATGTTTCATTCACGGTTGTATGTTTCATTCACGGTTGTATGTACTATTCACGGCTGTGTATTCTATTCATGGTTGTATGTTCTATTCACGGTTGTATGTTTCATTCACGGTTGTATGTTCTATTCACGGTTGTATGTTCTATTCACGGTTGTGTATTCTATTCATGGTTGTATGTTCTATTCACGGTTGTATGTTTCATTCACGGTTGTATGTTCTATTCACGGTTGTATGTTCTATTCACGGTTGTGTATTCTATTCATGGTTGTATGTTCTATTCGCGATTGTATGTTTCATTCACGGTTGTATGTTCTATTCATGGTTGTATGTTCTATTCACGGTTGTGTATTCTATTCATGGTTGTATGTTCTATTCGCGATTGTATGTTTCACTCACGGTTGTGTATTCTATTCATGGTTGTATGTTCTATTCACGGTTGTGTATTCTATTCATGGTTGTATGTTCTATTCGCGATTGTATGTTCTATTCACGTTTGTTTGTTTTATTCGCGATTGTATGTTCTATTCACGGTTGTATATTCATGTTTCATTCACTTGTGTAAGTTATAGTCACGAGTGTATCTTCTATCTAAGGTTCTATGTTCTATTCAAGTCACCGTTGTATGATCTGTCCACGATAGTATGTTCTATTCACGAGTTTATTTTCTATCCACGATTGTATGTTCTATTCAAGTCACGGCTGTATGTTCTCCGAAAGATTGTAGGTTCTATCCAAGGATGTATCATCTTCAGTTTGGGAAAGCTGACCAAAAAAAGAAGACTCTAAGCTGTCACGTATTGGCTCGCTACTCACACGCTTTTAAATACCTTTAAGTTACGACGAGACTGTCACTGTAAACACACCATTTAGGCGCCCCGTGAGGATTACAGATCAGAATAAATCTCCAGTATCCCATGCTCGTCGTAGAAAAAGGGCTTCTATAAAGATTGGGTAGTCAGGCTTTGTGCCCGAATGAATCGTTGTTAACACTCTCAATCACCAGTTTGTTTGGCCTCGAATCGAATCTACCTCGTCGTGATCTAGCAGGAATACTCCCGACAGCGGCGTTCAACAACAATCACTTTCTCATTTGTTTTTCTCCCCTCACACTATAATTCTACATTACCAGATACTGACGTCTTAAGTTCATGAAAGCATACCCTCGCCATTCTATTGCAGTTCTGGTATATCTGTGAAATAAACACGGGCAGTCGCGGCATGAAGGAGTATTATTCTCCACAGGAAGGAAGGATCGGTAACAATCACTGGTTAGCAGGGCCATCAATGCGGAAAATCGATAGACTTATCCAATTCAGAATTTCTCTTTCTTTGCGTGTGTGAAGTGAATTTATTTCTGAGTGTTTAGTTTCCGCTTTCCCTTGATTAATCTGGTGTAAACCAACCAGACGGCAATCACGACAAATCGGAGCTCACTCAACTCGCGGAAGTCTCTGTTGCCTAGGTGTCATTACCGTGTACACGTTCTCTGTTTGTTCCCAGAAAGTAAACAGTTTTCTTGACAACCTAAATCACCATTATAATTGCAGTAGATTAACCACAATAATATCAAGCTATATCATGTCACCGCAGTCAATTAGCACAATGCCATGTATGGCGATGATGAATAGTTCGGTCAAGTCGTGTAATGTTTCATTTCGAATAAACAACTCAGGGTATATTTCACTTCATAGTTTGGCTGCGTGGAGTTCCTTGGTGGAATATGTCCCCCATGGCTAATGCTTGTCGTAAGAGTCGACCATTGAGGATCGCGTGACTTAACAGCGGGTCATCGTGCACCCAATGAGCGGATCGTTGCTCATTCTTCCAGTCCAGGCTCGATGCCACACAGGCCGCGCCGATATAGCTTGAATATTTCTTCCTGAGTTGTTGAATAACCCTCACCTTCTCATAGCATACGTGAGGGTTTGTGTTCTGATTTCATCCACATCCGGTTTGATAACATTAATAAAAGCGACAAAACCCTGCCCATATTATTAAGAAATCTAAGGATGTATTCATTCTCTTTCATAAGAGTCGATTGTACGATTCCGACCATATGACGAGCTTGTGTTTATGAATCACCATCAACCATGTGTTCGTAAAAAGGTCAGCGTACCCTGCCCCACTGATGGCACCCATCGCAAACACATGCAAAGGCAAGTCATTTGTTCACTCGAAAAAATCAAATGTTGCAATACTTCATCAAACAACTTCTGATGAAGAGCTGTATGATGCTCTTTGAAATCCTGGAAGAAAGAGCACGCACGATTGTACCTCAAAAGTTGTGAAATGTAAACAGCAAATGCTGCTCGACAAACGGCTCAACATTTTCACAAACGTCCACGCATCGTTCAGGTTGAGATAAGGAGAAAATGGCGTTGGTAAGGAGGTATCTTTAGACGGGCAGCCCGTGAGGTGAAAGTGAAGATCATTCCTGACATCTTCACTCTCTGGGAGGTCGGGTGGCCTAATGGTTAAAGCCTTCGCTCGTCACGCCGAACATCCGGGTTCGATTCCCGACATGGGTACAATGTGTGAAGCCCATTTCTGGTGTCCCCCGCCGTGATATTGCTGGAATATTGCTAAAAGCTCTTAAATACCGCGCTGGATTAAATCGTAATGTTATAATGCCAGCTCTTTGTGCCAGTGTGCGAGTCTTGTTAGTTTGTTGTTCAGCTGAACTGCCGGGCAAAATAAAGTATACACTTGGAAATTTAATTTGACCTCAAACTTACAAACGTTATCATAAGGTGACTAGGCTGTAAACAGTCGCCAAAACACTGCAAACTTAAGGTCCAAAACACAACTATCAAGCACTTACACCATAGAAAAAATATTTCTTGTTTGTTTAATTTTTTACCACCATCAAACATGGGTGTATACTTTCATTTGCCCAGCAGTTTATATCACGTCGGGCTCTAAAAAATCGCGTCTGGACCAGGCAAACCAGTGGTTGATACCATGAAGCCATGGCATGCAATCGACCACGTCAGTAGCCTATGAGCGTGGTGAGCCCAGCTGACAAAATCACGTTGTGTTTACGTTGTGGTAACGTTGGGGATATTACATCCATATAACGTTATTCTGTGGACACCCATTTATGTTGTCACAACGCCATGGCCTAACGTTGTGTTACGTTATATTCACGTCGTCACAACGTTGTATCACGACGTTACCAATCCACAACCTTACCACAACGTTGTGACAACGTCGTGTATTAGCTGGGAGAATTATTCTAACCCTTATCCGAGTCTCGTCACAATGTTTCTGTCTGATATCATCTCAGTGATTGAGTAAGTAGTGGTTTAGACAGCGTTTAACAATGTCCAAGCACCATTACAACAGACACGAAACACACATTGGTATATATTATTAAACCTAGGAGGTAAAATGTGATTCATTTAGTTAGCATCCTTATTCGCTTATTGATGTTTAGGGGGTCAAGTGTGTAACAATAGGTTACACATACTTCACATAAGGGCATATACGTCTACACAGTTAGTTAATTGTCCACATAAAAGCAATTCAGCCTTTGGCCTTGTCACCTGTTCTATGGATAAAACAATAAAGGAATGTGTCATTTGGCCTGATAAACTAAATTGTAGTGTATATGCATAATCATTTTATCACGATTTCTTGCACCACAAAAAAAAGTCCGGTTGCGCGTAGATTAGTGAGTGAGTTAAATTTAACGTCACATCGGCAATAAGCGAGAAGATAAGCATTTCATACCAACCATATGTTTTTTGACAAAGTACAGGTATATTACTCTGGGGCAATTCAGGGTCAGAATAGGCTGTGGACCATTGCTGCAGTAACACCTGCTTTTACCGGAGTTACTGGTGATGGCAGTCCCGGACCAGATGGGGCAGAGAGGACAGTAAGGGCAGGTGAAGAAGAAGGGCCAGATGGGGCAG